ATAATCATCATCATCATCATCATCATCATCATCATCATCATCATCATCATCATCATCATCATCATCATCATCATCATCATCATCATCATCATCATCATCATCATCATCATCATCATCATCATCATCATCATCATCATCATCATCATATCCTCTTCCTCCTTCCCTCCCGCTCTCCCTCCCTCCCCCCTCCTCCACCTCCTCCTCCGTGGGTCGGTGGAGATATGCGAAGCGTCGGGAATTTCGGAGGTCGCGCGGACCTCTGAAAGTCGATGTTAATGGTTACATGATCAACCAAAGTATCTTCTCTCTTGCAGCACGCAAGAGACACGGAGGACAAAAAAGCGCGTGCCTTCCGCTCGCGAGAATGTAGATCAGGGGAACGTGGGGGGCCGAGTCCTTGAAGCATACCTGCGCGGTGCTGGCAGTGGTTCCGAAAGTGAGCGGCGCGTCTGACGTGGCAGGTGCGTGTCGTGGCGCCCTGAGCGTTACTGACACTGCGTGGATCGATCACCCTTGAGCTATCACAAAAACGATAGCAGCTTTCCGATAGCGCGGGGGGTTCGAGCGCCAGGGATTCCGGGCCACTTACGGCGTTCAACCTTGGAACGCCCGTGCAGGGTCGCCGCCGCGTCCAAAGCGGCCAGCGGCCATACATGAGTTCGAGATGAGGCTTGGCGAAATCCATTCCCTTCGGCTAATAGGACCATCACAGGAAGAGCAGAGCAATGACTGGGCACGCTTTGACTCAGGTCCACGTGAAGTGCTGGAGCCAATGCGGCTCGCTCTCGCAAGAGCAGAGACGAGCCAGCGTCACGACTTTGGGGTTCGGTGTGTGTGTGTGTGTGGCGATGCCTCTCGGAGTCATCGTTGTCCTTGCGATGGCCTCGGACAATCCTTGGGAAGTGTCCCTCGTATATCGTCCCTCCTTGATTCCTCAAACTTCTCTCTTATCATCTGGTTCCTCTCTCCTGACTCCACACACCTCTCCACTACCTCTCCATCGATCCCCACACCCCATCATCCCTCCCAACTCCCCTTACTTGTCACTGCTCACTTTTCCACCACCCCTCATCATTCCTACCTTCTCGTTCTTCTCTCCTCGCTGCTCGCTTGCTCCCTACTCGCACATCCCTCCTCATTTCTCGTTGCTTCCTCGTGACTTCATGTATGTCTATCTCTCTCTCTCTCTTTCCAGCCTCGCTCCCCTCTGACTCTTCCTCTTTCTAACTCACTCCTCACTCTTCCTTCCCTCCTCTGAAGCGCCTTGATTCCCTGGCGGAAACGAGGTCCAAGAAGAGTAGTGAGATGCAAAGGTTAAGTATGAAGGTCAAGGGAGGGAAACATCTGGAAGCGCGGACATAAAACCGCTCCCGATGAAAATCTGGAGAAGAAAAGGGAGAACGACCAAAGAAAGAGCTGCCGATACCTCCAGCTCCAGTGGAGGCGGCTCCAGGAATGTCTTGCCCAATTTTGCCTCCACAACGTTCATCAGCGCCTTGACCGTGGCATCCGTCCGGAGCGCGAAGAGGAGCAGCGCCTGTAAGAGGGGATGTGGCCAGCACGCACTGGGCAAGGCTTCACCGCTTTCAGCCTCCCCCCTCTCCTCATTCCTGGATAGCTCGCGGAGAGCTAAAGGGTTGCAGATTGAAGCCGGCAGGCCAGGGTAGCTCCAGAGCGCGTTCTTCTGGCAGGGAGCACCGCTGCGGCTGGCTTGACGTCGCAGCGCGTCCCGAAAAGCCTCTTCGAACTGCTGCCCACTACGTGCTGTCGAGCTCTCCAGGAGCTCCTGCCCGGAGCTGCGAGAGCTCCCCCGAAGAGCCTTCCAGAAGCTTCTGTCGCCTCGCTACCCGGCTTCTGGACACGACAAGCGCACATAGACACACACACACACACAAACAAACAAACAAACAAACAAACAAACAGACAGACAAACAAACAAACGAACAGACAGACAGACAGACAGACAAACACACACACACACACACACACATACACACACTCAAACACACGCACGCACGAACGCGCGCGCACAAGGTGAGGAGAGGGAGGACAGCAGAGATTCCCGGATAGCTCGCTCCCTGCCCCCCCCGACGACACAAGCGCCATTTCCCTGCCCCCCTGTCCCCCCTCCTCGTCCTCCTCCACTCTTCCCCCCCTGCCCCCCATTCACCCCCGCGCGCCCCCACCCCACGTGCCCCCCCAACGACGAGGGGAGGAGAAGCAAAAGGCGTGAAGAGCTGGCAGTGGAGGAGGGAAGGGGACCACCAAGGGGGAGGGGGGCAGGGGAGGGGGGTATTCAGGGAAAGGGGGGAAAGCTCCAGAGAAGGGAAGGCGAAGGGACTGCGCGAAAGGGAAGGAGAGAATGAGAGAGAGAGACACACATAGAGAGAGAGAGAGAGAAAGAGAGAGAGAGAGAAAGAGAGAGAGAGAGAGAAAGAAAGAAAGAGAGAGAGAGGGGGGGAAAGACACACACACACACACACCAATGCGGGCACGCGTGTCCAAGTCGGCAGGGGCAAGCGCCTGCCTGGCCGAGCTCAAGGAGGGGCCGAGCGCAGCCCGCATAAACTGGGGGCCCCCGAACCAGGCCCACCCCCCCGCGGCGGCGCCGAGGCGACTGAGCCGTCAGGATCGCACGGTCTGGCGACGGGGGCCCGCAGCGCCTCCGGCGCCGAGGCGACTGCACGGCAAGAACGGCGTGGTGACCAGGAGGAGGAGGGGGAGGAAAAGAGGGCGAGGAGAAGGAGGAGGAGGAGGCGGAGGAGGAGGAGGAGGAGGAGGAGGAGGAGGGGGGAGGGGAAGGAGAAGGAGGAGAGGAGGAGGAGGAGGAGGAGGAGGGAGGAGGAGGGGGACGGGGGAGGGGAGGGGGAGGGGGAGGGGAGGGGGAGGGGGAGGAGGAGGAGGCGAGGAGGAGGAGGAGGAGGAGGAGGAGGAGGAGGAGGAGGATGAGGAGGAGGAAGGAGAAGGAGGGGGAGGGGAGGGGGAGCGGGGAGGGGGAAGGGGGAGGGGGAGGTGTGGGGAGGTGGGAGGGGTGAGGGGGAGGAGAGGAGGAAGGAGGAGGAGGAAGGAGGAGGAGGAGGAGGAGGAGGGAGGAGGAGGAGGAGGAGGGAGGAGGAGGGAGGAGGAGGAGGAGGAGGAGGCGGAGAGGAGGAGGAGGGGGAGGAAGGAGGAGGAGGAGAGGAGGAGGAGGAGGAGGAGGAGGAAGGAGGAGGGGGGGAGGAGGAGGAGGAGGAGGAGGAGGAGGAGGAGGAGGAGGAGGAGGAGGAGGGGAGGAGGAGGAGGAGGAGGAGGAGGGGGAAGGAGGAGGAGGAGGAGGAGGAGGAGGAGGAGGAGGAGGAGGTGGAGGAGGTGGAGGAGGAGGAGGAGGAAGAGGAAGAGGAAAATGTACACCCAGGAGCTGGCGCAGCTGGGATGGAGGCCAGCCACTCGTCCGACGTCGGTCGGCGCCTCCGTCGGGGGGGGGAGCAAGGGGTGGGCCAGCGTGACGGTGCAGCGGCCCGTCTTCGTCATCGACGGCGCCGTCCTGGCCCAGCCTCCTCTGCCTCGCCATGCCGTGGTCGGCAGAGCGAGGGCGATGGGGGAGGTGCCGAGGCGGCGCAGGAGGCGGTGGGAAACTGGCTGCACACAGCGGGCCCCAAGTGCAGCGAGGTTTGTCGGCGTCTGTCGCAACGCCGCCCCTGTCGGCGGGGGCCGCGGGTGGGCCGGCGCACTGGCGCAGCGGCCTGCCATCGTCATCGTCGGCGTCGCCTTGGCCGTGGCTCCTCGTCTTCCTCCTCCTCCTCCTCCACCTCCTCCTCCTCCTCCCTCCTCCTTCTCCACCTCCTCCTCCTCCTCCGCCCTCCTCCTCCTCCTCCTCCTCCTCCTCCACCTCCTCCTTCTCCTCCCTCCTCCTCCTCCTCCTCCTCCCTCCTCCTCCTCCTCCTCCTCCTCCTCCTCCTCCTCCTTCTCCTCCTCCGCGCCATGCCGTGGTCGGCTGGGTGAGGGTGATGGGAGGGGGGAGGGGCGCAGGAGCGCGTCGCGAGCGCGACGACGGCTGGGGTCCGCTTCGGAGGCGGAGACGCGGGACGAGCGATCGAGAATCGACGTTAGGTTGACCCTGGTCGGCAGCGGTTGTGGAGAGCCAGCTGTGGGCAGCTCAGGGGTGCTCAGGAGTGGGCACGAAGCGTTGCACCAGGAGTCGGCGGGCAAGCTGTCACGAAGCTTCTGGCATCATGGTTATGAAGAAGACGCTGCACATGGCCCGATAGTGAGAATGGGTCGTAGCAGCAGCCATCGCGGCGGTCACGCGAAGGAGTGGCGGTCGAGTCTTCAGCCGCTGGCGCGGCAGGAAGCGTGCACCCAGGAGCTGCCGCAGCTGGGATGGAACAGTCACCTGCGCCAGCCACTCGTCGGACGTCGTTCGCCGGTCGTCGGGCGTCGGCTTTGGACGCCCGAAGTGGGTACGGGAAAAATGGTTACAATGCCCAACAACAAATGTTGTCCCAAACCAACACCGACCGCTGTTGGGCAGGCGGCCTGCTGTCTCAAATGGACACAGACCGCGGCAGAGCGGACAACGAGTCCGGTTCAAAACGAACAAGGACTGCTGTTGGAGAGTGTACCCATCCTTTCCGTATCCATTTCGTGCGTGCCGATCGGTCGGCCGTCGTCGCTGCTGCCGGTGCCTCGGCGTGCGCGATCGTCGTCGGGCGGTCGACGGTCGTCGGTGGGTGGGCTCCTAGAGCATGGAACACTGCGCAGAGGCCTTGCAAGCGACGACTCAGAACGAGCAGTAGGGAGTGGAAGACGCGAGGATCAGCTCGAAGGGCCTGAAGCTCGTCGCGGAGGCTGCACAGGTCGACTCGAAGAGCGCTGAGATCGTCACGATGCCAATGCGTCGGGGGTCCAGCGGCTGGGTGGTCCTGCTCGCGAACCTGAGGGGTGCACCACGGGCCCCGGGATGGGGCCAGGGTAGGTGGTGAGCCAGGGGGACGCGCGGGGTACCCAGCTGATGCACCTCGGTGTCGAGAACTAGGTCGGGCTGAGGGCCCGGGGGGCCGCGTCATTCGCTCGACGCTCGTACGGGCAGGTGCTCCTTTGAAGCGCTGGTGGCGCCGCATAGAGGCCGTCGCCCTTGGCCACCTCCCCGCAGGCATCCGACGACGCAGAAAGTGGCAAGCGGCGCAGTTGGAATCGAGCTGGAACCAGTCGACGCAGAGGGCGCTGCCGAGGGAGTGGCCCCCCCCGTCGCCACCCGATCTCCGCGGCGGGCAGCTTGAGGGCAGGGGGCCAGGTCAGCGTTCCGAGTTAAACTCTCGTGCCCGCGGCTAAAGAGAGAGAGGGGGGGCGGAGGAAAACAATATATGTATATATATATATATATATATATATATGTACATGGAGAGAGAGGTAGAAAGGAGAAAGACAGAGAAGAGAAAGACAGAGAGAACAAACAAAAAGAGAGAGTGAGAGACAGACAAGAGAGAGAGAGAGAGAGAAAGAGGAAAGGAGGAAGAGGTAGCGGGGGAGGGGGGATGGGAAGAGGGGAGGCCGGAGGAGGAAGGGTAGGCGAAGGAGGATGAAGCGGGGGAGGGGAAGGAACGGGGGGCGCGGGGAAGGGCGAAGAGCGGAAGGGAGGCAAGCCAGGAACGCTCGCGCCATATCTGACATACGATCCCTCCCTCCCACCGTGTCCCGACCTGGAACTCCACGGTGGGGCCTGCAACACCTGCAGCGCGACCTGTGGGGCCTGTGGGACCTGCGAGACCGGCGAGACCAGCGAGGCCCATGGGCGCCGTGGCTCCAGCAGCCCCGCGGGGCCTGGGCGACCCGCAGAACCTGTCGGAGACCTGCGGGACCCCTGTGACACGCGAGACCTGCGGCACCCGTGGGACCCGCGGGACCCGTGGAGCTCGTCGGGCCTGCTGTGGGATCCACCGGACGACCTGCGGCACCCGTCGGACCTGCGGGACCTGTGGGACATGCGAGACCTGCGGCACCCGTGGGACCTCTGGGACCCCTGAGAGACCGGTGGGATCCAGCTAAGTGGCCTACGCTGGGGCGGCGAGAGCGCCAGTCTGAACGAGGGGAGCTAAACGCCGATCCGAGAATGGCGGCCACGCTGCAACGAGAGCGCTATTTCTTGAAACACTGAAAACAATCGGATGGCAAAATAATACATAAAAATTGGCGAGAGGGGAAAAAACAAACAACAACAAAAAACAAAAAACTGCATATTCCTGTGCGTAGAACAGCAAGACGCGGAGGGGGGCGAGACATCTTCCAGACAGGGTCAGAGGAGAGAGGAGTGGAGGAAGAAAAAACAGCAGAAACATCCCTGTCGCGCAGAGCGCACCAGGGGCGGCGCCGGATGCGCTGCCAGGTGGCTCCAGCGCAGATCCAAGATATCTGCGCGGACCGTCGAAAGTTTATGTTTACGCTGCTGTTGTTGTTCTTTTCGAGCTCAATAGGGGGGCCACAAGCAAAAGCAAAGAGCAGGAAGCTGCGTGTATAGGTTAACGACCGAAGAGTCGAATATATACAATAACCCGTAGGTAGAGGTGAGTGAGGAAGAAGATCACTAGTCCTTTTCCAGGGCGTTGCGATGCGGGCAGCGCGGTATGTGCTCCAATACCTGAGCCGACACGTTAGAGGTATGTGATGATATGAGCGGACTTCGCGCACAGAAGCGGAGGCGGGGCACGGGAGGACCTGCTGCAGGGGCGTGCACTTCAGCTTGAAGTTGTTGGGCCAGTCCACGTCCGCGGGGCTGTCGGAGTCGAAGACGGCCTTCCACCCGTCGACCTTCCGGACGGGGGCCGGCGAGGCGGCGCCACGCCCCTCTCTCTCTCGCACGCCACCTCCCCACCAGACCACTGCTCGAGTGTATCTATGCTCGCTGTCCCTATTGGCCTCCTAGATGGGATCGGAGTAGATGGGGTCGGAAGACCTCGCCGCATCGCCGATACATCGGCGATGCATCGCCGATGCATCGGCGATGCATCGGCGATACGCTGGCGGCGTCGGCGATGCATCGGCGACGTCGGCGTGGAGAAACTTGGGCCCCACATCGAGCCGCATCGCCGATGCATCACGATCCTTCGCCCCCATCCACGCCGACCCCATCTGGGAGGCCTAGAGTCCCCCCCCGCGTGTTTTTTCCTCGGCGATCCCGAGCGGGCCGGGACGAGTGGCCAACAGCTGGCACCGCGCGACGCCACCGGGCGCGCGTGCCCGCCTCACCTTGACGGGCGGACGGCGGGGGATGGTAGGCCCGCGCTGCGCGGCGCCTGCACACGGGCGGCGGAGCGGCCTCCGGCAGGCCAGCGACGGTGCACCGGAGACCACCGGCGCGCGACCCCACGCGGCACAAACGTGTCCCCCCGCCCGCGTCCGCTGCCTTCTCGTGCCGTCCCTCGCTCATGACTTGGCCTCTCGTTGTCCTCTCCTGGACGTGCATTTTGTATTATATATAAATTTATATATATTTATATATATATAATAAATAAAATTTATATGACTATATTTATATATATATATATACATATACATATAGATAGAACTGCTCCCAGAACGGTACTTGCGCTCAGGGGCTCGAGCTTTGGCCACCAAGGGCTTGGCTGGCTCTGACGAGGCTCTTCCACGTTGCCGCCCGTGGCCTCCACGTGGCCGCCATCGTGCGCTGGATGGGTCGGGCGAGGCTTCGCCGGCCTGCCGCCCATGGCCGCCTCGTGGCCGCCCCGCGCGCTGCGTGGGGCCAGCGAGACTGCGCCTCGTGGCCGCCTCGTGGCCGCCTCGTGGCCGCCTCGTGGCCGCCTCGTGGCCGCCTCGTGCGCTGGGTGGGCCCGGCGGTGTTGCGCCAGGCTGCCGCCCGTGCCGCCTCGTGAGTGTTCATATAAGCGCCCAGTGCGCGCCCCGTGTTTGCCTTGGGTTTGTCGGAGTTGTGCCACTTTGCCGCCCGTGCCACCTCGTGGGCGTTCGTGGGCGGCCCGTGCGCCAAGCTGACACCACAGAGCTCGCACCACATAGCTTACACGACTCAGTTGAAAGCCGCACAGCTTACACCCCGCAGTTTGCACAACAGATGTTGCGCCACATAGTTTACGCCGCCTGCCTTTCACCTCCATTGCTCGCACCACATAGCTTACACGAAGTAGCTTGCACAACATAGCGTACACCGTGGATCTGCCACATCCACGGGCAATGGCCCACTGTTTGGGGTCCGAGCTGGCTAACATATATATATATATATATGTGTTTCTCTCCTCCAGATAAGGCTTGCACGTTGGGGTTCCTACTGATGTCACTACGGAATCGGATACGTCCGGCAAAGATGTTCCACGTTGCCGCCCATGGCCGCCTCGTGGCCGCCTCGTGCGCTGGGTGGGTCTGGCGAGGCTGCGCCACGATGCCGCCCGTGGCGGCCTCGTGGGCGCCCACTGCGCTAGGTGGGTCCGGCGAAGTCTCGCCAGACGGCCGCCCGCTGCCTCCTCGTCGGCGCCTCGTGCGCTGGCCGGGTCCGTCGAGGTTGCGCCACGTTGCCGCCCCTGGCCGCCTCGTGCGCTGACCGGGTCCGACGAAGTTGCGCCACGTTGCCGCCCGTGACCGCCTCGCGCGCTGGGTGGGCCCAGCGAGGTTGCGCCACGTTGCCGCCCGTGGCCGCCTCGTGGGCGTTCGGGGCTTGCCGACGTCGCGTGACATTGCCGCCGTGCCGCCTCTCGAGCGCTCGCTGGCGGCCCGCAAGCTGAACGGGTCCGACGAGGATGCGCCACGTTGCCGCACAGCTTACACCGCACAGCTGATACCGCATAGCCTAAGCAATATAGGTGATAGCACGTACATGCATATGAATGTATATACATAATTAGTACACCAAGTTGGTTTTCACCTCCATAGCCAACACCACACAACTTCCACGACATAACTCATACCCCATTGTTTGAACCATACAACTGTCGCCACCGATGCAACTCACCGTTTGGGGTCCGCGCTGGCCAGCATAACATACCTGTGTACAGGGATTCGCCTCAGTCACTGTTTTTCTGTATCTGCCTCTCTCTCTCTTTCTCTATTTCTCCCCCTCCATCTCTCTCTCTCTCTCTCTCCTCTCCCCCTCCCCTTCTCTCTTTCGCTCCCCCATCCCTCTCTCTCTCTCTCTCTCCCCCCATTCTCTCTCCCTCTCCCCCTCTCCCCCTCTCCCTCTCTCCCTCTCCCCCTCCCTCGCTCCCTCTCCCCGAGCCTGCCGAGAGGGTCCGCCCCCTCCCGCCTCCCCCCCCTCGCTCGCCGCCCGTGCTGGGCCCACGGCCGAGGGCCCCCCACGAGAGCGCCCGCCGCCCGCGATGCGAGGCCTGCGACACCCCGCCCGGGCGGCGCCGGCGCGGCGCGCAGCCCGTCGGCGATCTCTCGAGCGGGAGGAGAGGGCGCTCAAGGAGGAGGAGGAGGAGGAGGAGGAGGAGGACGGCGACAGCGACCTGGACAAGGAGGAGGAGGAGGAGGAGGAGGACGAGAACGAGGAGGAGGACGGAGAGGAGGAGGAGGAGGAGGAGGTGGAGGAGACTGGACAAGGAGGAGGAGGAGGAGGTGGCGGAGGAGGACAAGGAGGAGAAGACGTTCAAGGAGGAGGAGGTGGAGGACGACCTGGACAAAGAGGAGGAGGGTGAAGAACAAGGAGGAGTGGGAGAAGGAGAAGGAGGAGGAGGAGGAGGAGGAGGCGCTCAAGGAGGGGGTGGAGGACGACGTGGACAAGGAGGAGAAGGAGGAGGAGGACAAGGAGGAGCGGGGAGGTGGACAAAGAGGAGGATCGAGGAGGAAGGAGAAGAAAAGACGTGCAAGGAGGGGGGAGGACGACGTGGACGAAGGAGGAGAAGGAGGAGGAGGAGGAGAAAACTAAGAGGAGGAAAAAAGGAGGTGGACATGGAGGAGAGGGAGGATGAGGTTGAGGAGGTAGGAGGAGGATGGCGACACGACGAGGAGGGGCGGAGGAGGAGGTGGTGGAGACCGAGGACGTGACCCTGACGTAGGAGGAAGGAGTAGGAGGAGGATGTGGAGGAGGAGGAGAGGATGGGAGGGAGGAGGAGGGAGGAGGAGGGAGGGAGGGGGGGAGGGTGGGAGGGATTTGGGTGGAGGGTGGGGAGCGAGGGAGGGAGGAGGGAGTGTGGGGGAGAGGCCCCCAGCCAGGGGCAGGAGAGGCCGGCCGGCCTCTCGCGAGGAGCACCTGGCAGGCCGCCGCAGGTGGCACACCCAGCGGCGGGCAGGGCCGGCAGGCCGGCCGGGCCGGCACGGCCGAGGGCTCGCTCCGGCAGAGGGTCACCGGCTCCGGCCCGCGAGGGGCAGCGGCCCGGAGGTGCTCCGTGAGAGCGGCGTGCGCCCCCGCGGATGGGGCTCCCGCTGGGAGAGGCTCGGGCACTTGCTGGCGAGGGGCGGCAGCCACTGCCACCCGGATCGTGGGGTCGGGGACGTGCGAGCACTGGACATGTGGGGTCGTCCCTCCCTCTCTCTCTCTCTCTCTCTCTCTTTCTCTCCCTCTCACTCTTTCTCTCATGCATGTATACATGCATACATATATGCATGTATCTATATATATATACATACATACATACATACATACATACATACATGCATGCATGCATGCATGCATACATATATGTAAACCAACACATGTGTATGTATATGTTTATATACACATATGCATGCATGCATGCATGCATGCATGCACATATGCATACATACACACATACAATCATGCATGTATGCATGCATGTATGCATACCTGCATGCATGAATGCGTGCATGCATGCATGCATACATGCATGCATGCATATATGAATAGATGTGTATACATATAAATATATGTACGCACAGACATGCATGTATGCATACATGCGTACGTACGTACATACATGCATACATACATACCCACAAACATACATACCTACCGACCGACCGACCTACCTACCTACTGACCTATCTACCTAACTACCTACATACATACAAATACACATACCAAAACACAAATACATGCATACATGCATGCATGCATGCATGCATGTATACATACATGCATAAATACACATGCATACCTACATGCAGGCATGCATACATACTCATATGCGCACATGCTTACATAAACTCATACATACACGCATGTATGTCTGCAGACATGCATGCATCCATACATACATGCGTACGTGTGCACATGCATCCGTGTCTCTGTGTCTCTCTCTTTCTCTCTCTCTCTCTCTCCCTCTCTTGCTCCCGATCCCTCAAGAAATGCATGCATATACATGTATATCTACATATACATATACATATCAATATATATATACACATACCTATATATATATATATATATATATATATATATGTGTGTGCACCCGGCCACCCTCCTCGTCACGCTCTCGGCCGCGCGAACTGCCGCTCCCCCCACCCCGAGGGATCCTGGGCGCCCCGACGCCTCTCTCCAGTGTCAGTGGCGGGGCCCTGGGGCACACAAACACACACACACACAGCTAACAGGATTCCCCATACACCCTGCGAAATGCTTTAGAAATCATGGGTTCAGAAATTCATAGTCTCCGAATCTGAATGAAAACCCAGAATGTCTATTCAAATCTTGGGATTTACATTGAAACATTAAGAAAAATCGAGACTCTGGCCGAAAACTCTGGTTTTCTTAAGTATCGCCTAGAGTGTATTTTCCTACATTTTCTGGGTTCGTGTCGTCCCCCCCACTCCCTATATGTTCCCATATTCTCTGGAGAATCGACGATTCATTGTGTCTGTGTGTTTTTCCTTCCTGTGTTAAGTCGGGCCTGTCCTTCTACACACAACTAACAGGATTCCCCCATAGATTCCTACATGTTCTGGGTTCGTGTCGTCCCCCCCCAACTTCCCATGTGTTCCCATATTCTCTGGGGAATCGACGATTACTTGTGTCTGTGTGTGTTTTTCCTTCCTGTGTTAAGTCGGGCCTGTCCTTCTACAGGAGAAACATTCAAAAATAGTCAAAATGTAGTCTGGGCACGATTTGTTGCGTATATTTGATGCTTTTGAAGATGTGTTGGGGTATGCCTTATCTGTTTCGTCCAAAAATCCGCCTGTAGGGGGGCACACCCAACCTAACTCCAGTGCCTCCAAGACGGACCACGGACGGCCACCAAACCAAATCGCCAGGATGGCCAAAGATTGCCTCAAGACGCACCCTGGAGTCCCTAAGAAGCGTCCGAATGGATCCAAAGAGGCTCCCAATAGGCCCCAAGACACCGTGACACCCCCAAAGCGCTCTCCAGGAGTCCTTCGGGGGGGGCACAAACACTGATGCACCATACATATAGTGTTAAATGCTGTTCGCTTTCCGCGCCCTGTTCGGGCGAAGACAGGCCCACCTGCGGCATCAGAGGGTTCAGAAGTCAATCCTGAGTCGGTTTGGAAATCCCATGGCCCAACAAACAAAAACCTAATGATTCTTCACGGCGCGAAGAGATGGGCGCTGGCGGGTGGAGCCGGACTGACGGGCAACGGCAGCGGGGGACTGGCACAGGGAAGGACCACACCCCGAAAATGATTTCGAGCACCCAGAAAAGTATCGAAACAGTGTCGGACGAGTATCGCCGCCTCCCAGGGCCCGACACGTGGAAACCCTCAAGATTTGGTACTTTCCTGGCGTTCGAAATTCTTTCTGGTGGTCAAGGCTAAAGTAGGTTGGAACATCATAAGCACAGGGGTGAAAACATCGAGCTAGAATCGGCGACACATCGCCGATCGATCGGCGAAAGGCCCACGATAGCGACACCGCACGCCTCTTGGGCGGGTCGGGCCATCGGGCCCCATGTTGGCGATGAATGGGCGATTTGGGGGGGTCTGTGCGTCGCCCCCATGCGCCCCTCGGGCCGCAACTCGGCTCTCGGGCGGCCGGTCGGGATGATCCTGGCGCCCCCGCGACGCCCTCGGCGAGGCGCAGCTGCTGGAGAGCATCCCGAGGCTGGAAGCCGCCGAGAGCCTACGAAAACACCCAAAAACCTCGAACCCTCGAACCATCCCCCCCTTAAAGCCCATCCCCCCCTATCGTTGTCCCTGACGGGCTCCCGCGAGCCTGTGCAGAGAACTCACCGACGAAGCCGTCGAACACGTCCCCCAGCGTCTGCAACACGTTGATGCCTCGGCCCGCTGGGTCGAAGAGGCAGCCAGCAGCCAGGGCAGGGACGGAAGCAGCGGGGGCCATCGAAGAGAGGGGGAGGGAGGATCGAGGAGGGAGGAGGGAGGGGGGGCCCTCGAGGAAGAAGAGGAGATTGGACGGCCTCCCCCTCCCCCCCGTCCAAAACGGAAGGAAGGTCCTCCGGTGGTACCGCGGCCACGGCGGCGCGCGCGCGCCACGTAGCGAGCGCGGACAGGGATCTCGCGGAGGCGAGCTGCGGCAAGAGGAGAAGGAGAATGACCTTCAAGGACACTCTAGGCGGAGGGAAGGAAGGGATGAGGGATGAGGAACGGATGGATGGAGAACCCCCATCGAGGAGTTCCTCCCTCCCCTGGCAATTCCTCCTCGAGGGAGGTGCCTCGGGGAGGGGGGAGGGAAGGAGGGAGGGAGAGAGTTTTGCGAGGGGCGGCGGCGTGCGATTCGTTCGCGTATCGCTGTCTGGCACATTTCAACGGGAGCCCATCTCTTTCTTCGAAGCTGAGGCCGTCACCATGAACAAAGGTGTCCAACGGCTGGGTCCTCTAAAATCTCGCATAGCACGCGGCCGTCAGGATCCCGACTTCGGCTGAGGCAGACCGTCTCGATCGAGGCCCTGATTTCAGCACCCAAGCGGGAGCCGCCACGGAAGGGGGCACAGCGCTGCCCTTGTGCCAGGAGGGTGGCGATGAGCGGCAGCATGGAGCTGGGGGCGGGGAAGGGCGAAGAGGTAAGGGAGGAACCAGGGGTCAAGGATTGGCTGCGTCCTCGCGGCCGCAGTCCGCAGAGGAGGAAGGGGCAGGGGCGACAACGACCGCGGCTCGAAGGGCCGACCGAGGTGCAGGGGAGGCGGAGCAGGCGGACGTGACGCGAAGTCGGAGCGCGGCGCGCGCACAGTATCGCGGATCCCAGGCGCACCAGGCCTGGCCCGAGACTCGGCTCACCGCGAGGGCTCCTCTGGGGCGGGGTCGATGCCAGCTGACCATCGTCAACCACTCCGTGTTCGGCGGCTTCTCCTCCTGGGGGGAGGGGCTCGGGGGCCGCTCCTGTCCCCTCTCCTGGGGATGGGGGAGGCCTCCTCCTGGAGGCGCGGGGGCGGGATACGGGGGGGGGGGGGCAGGGGCAGGGAGGGTGAAATAGGAAAGACGCAGGGGAAAGGCAGAAGAGGGAAAGTCAGCATACTCTGGGTTTCTTAATCAGCGCGGGGGGGTATCCCCCGACGGGGGTCAGCCTCGCCTCGTCGTCGCGCTGCGACAGGGGTCGGAGCGCCTTCGGCGCGCGAAGGCTGCCCGCGACGGGGATCGATGTGGGGCTGCCGGCGGGGGTGACGCCCCCCGACGCTTATCAAGAAACTCGGCCTAAGCATAAGCTTCTTGAGGTCCGCGCGGATTTCTTGCATCGGCGCGGGACCCACCTCCCTGGCGCACGGAGCACACCATTGGCGGCGCTGGAGGCACCACCAAGGAGTCCAGCGCCGATCCAGCAAATCCGCGCGGGCCTGCGAAAGCGAATGTTTATGCGGAAGCTCTTCTTCAAACGGGGCAGGGTATAAGGGTGCGGGAGTTGCCTTCAATTCCATGCTGAAGTCAAGTGCTAGCGTTTCGTTTCAACGTGTAACAGCCACCAGCTCAGTTCCACCACCACGTCCACTCGAGCAGTGACCACCACAGGCCAAATGTCACGCGAACGCCCCGCATCCTTTGACCTCCCCCCCCTCATCCCCCTTGCCCATCCGTTCCCCTCACCACCTCTCCCTGCCCCCCCCGGCCAGCGCCCCTTGCTCACCTACCATCTCCCCTTTTGCGACAGGGAGGCAAGGACCAGCAAGACTTCCAGGTCCGCGGGCCGACCAGGGGTCCCAGACGGAAGGAAACTGGCCTCCCCCCCGCCCCCGCCATCCCCTCCCTCTCAGTCCCCCCCTCCCGCTCATCCCTCCCATCCCCCACCTCACAGCGCCCACCCTTTGTGGGCAAGATTTCTATCCATATCCACTGCGTCTTGGTTTTTCTGAGAGAGGATACCAAGCGGCCGAGGCGCACTGGGCATGAACAAAAATCAAGCCTCTAGGGGCCAAATGTTCGTATCCGTATCCACTGCTCCTCTGGCTTCTAGAAGGGAGCCCTGAACTCCAGCACGCGGTGGATATGGAAACCAGTTTGACAGTCTTACCCGCAACGTTCCCCCACTTTTTTAGCCAGCGGCCGCAAGGGGATCAGACAGCGGTCGAGCAGTGGTGGGGCGCGCTGGAGCACAGCGAGGCACTGAGAAGGGGGAGCGCGCCATGCGAGGAAGGCCCCCGTTCCCCCTCGTCCCCTCTTCCGATGCGTCACGCATGCACCCCGCCGTTCACCCGCCCGCCCCCCTCAGGAAAGGCGAACTCCAGACGCAGTAAGCCCAGATGCAGGCCGAGCACTCCGCCCGCACGGACCTGACCCGCACGGACTCCGCCCCCTCCGAGGCGGGGCTCCGTCGGGACGGAGGCGGCCCAGACGGAGGCCGAGCACTCCATGTGGACTGCCTCCGTGTGGACTTGGCCTCCGCCGCCTCCGATGCGGACTCCCCGCTGCTCCCGCCCGCACCGGCGCGAGTGAGCAGGACCCCGAGGACGACGGGCCCTGGGCCCGGCGGCCGCCCTCCCCCCGCACCAGTTTTCCGGTCTCGGCCGTTCTCCGACGGCCCCAGAGGCCCTGGGCAGGGGACCCGCGGAGCCCGAGGGCGGAGAACAGAATCTGGACCCCGTCCCTGCCCTCCTCCTCCTCCTCCTCCCCCTCCTCCTCCTCCTCCTCCTCCTCCTCCTCCTCCTCCTCCTCCTCCTGATGTCCTAGCCTCCTCCTCCTCCTCCTCACTCCTCCCTCCCTCCCTCCCTTCCCTCACCTCCCTCCCTCCCTCTCCCCTCCCTCCCTCTCCCCCCCCCGCGCCTCCCTCCCTCGCGCTCCCTCGCCTCCCTGCCCCTCCCCTCCTCCCTCCTCCTCCATCCCTCCTTCTCGTCCTCCTCCTCCTCCTCTCGTCCCTCGCGTCCTCGCTCCTCCTGCCTCCCAACCACGCTCCCCTCCTCCTCCTCCTCCTCCTCCTCCTCCTCCTCCTCCTCCTCCTCCCTCCTCCTCCACCCATGTATCGGCCAGACCGAGACTGTTGACAGGGCGTGCCGGCGTTTTTTACGTCTGGAGACTCGCTCACCATTGATAATCCTAAAACAGAAAATTCGCAGAAGCTTCCGGTGGAGGGCGGGGCCGTGTCACAAATGATGCGCTCGCCTCAGACGCCGGGGGGCGCACATTCCGCTCTGAAAGTTTTGCAATAGCTCCACGGTTTGATGCAATAGCTCCACGGTTGAAGTGAAGGTCGTTTTCAAAATTGCTGTCGTCTTAACGTCGCGTACATTCGTCCTCAAAGTTCGCAACAGCTTCACGTATGAAGGTCGCCTTCATGTTTTTCATTACCCCAGTGCGGCCCTACCTAGAAGTTGGAGCCCTAGGAAAAGCAGCATTAGTTGCTATGCTGTGCTATGCTATGCTATGCTATGCGATGTTATGCCTGTACTAGCTTAGCATATGGTATGCTATGTGATGCTATGCTATGCTATGCTATGCTAAGCTATGCTATGTAATGCTGCGCTGTGCTATGGTATGCTATGATATGCTCTGCTATGTGATGCTATGGTATGCTGCGCGGTGCTATGCTATGCTGTGTTGTGCTGTGCTGCGCTATGCTATGCTGTGCTATGCTGTGCTGCGCTATGCTATGCTATGCTATGATATGATATGTTGTGCTGCGCTATGCTGTGATACGCTCTGCTATGATATGTTGTGCTCTGCTATGCTAAAGCTCGGCGAAGCTAAGATGAAGGTAAGCTAAGATAAGATAAACCTGAGCTAATATGAAGCTAAACTAAGCTAGGATGCAATAAGCTAAGCTAAGATGAGATAAGCAACGCTAAGCTAAGATGACGTAACTGGGGGAACCACGGGGCGGATGCCGGGGGAACCGCCCGGGGCGATTTGCACTGCCCGGCCCTTTAAGCCCAGCCAGTAAGAACCCTTCTACGCAGAGCCTAGGTAGGGAAAAATGTGGTTCTCGCCTGCTCGCCTTATGCATGGAGTTGCAAGTGATTCATAGGCGGGATGCGTTTCTTTTTACAAGCGGCACGTGGTTCTCGCCTTAGCCCCGCGCACGCTCGCGTCATGGATATGCAAATGCTTCACCGGCGGAATGCGGTTATTTCTCCAAGGGGGGCTCTCGCCTCGAAGCCGCGCACAATCGTCTTAAACATGCATTCCAATTAGTCTGATTTACGGTTGGCGTCCCAGGAACGCTGTTCCGGCACAATTTAGGATAGTCGGGGCGTAACTGTGAAGCTGATCCTTGGTGTTGAAATCCCAGGATTAACGTTCTGGCACGATCCAGGATCGTCAGGAAACAACAGTACAGTAAACTTGACTCGCGGGGTTGACGACCAAGAAGTGGCGTTTCGGCCCGACTTCAGATTTCTCCAACACTTGTCTTCCAACAGGGCACTTCCAGCAATGAAAAAAAAATGCCGAGGGAACCTCTGAACAGGGAACTTGAAGGGAGGGTTTACGGCAACATCGCTGGTGCGTCATAGGTCTACATTCTACATTGTACATCCTCCTCCTCCTGCTCCTCCTCTTCGTCCTCATCCTCCTCCTCCCCCTCCTCCTCCTCCTTCTCCTCCTCCTTCTCCTCCTGCTCCTCCTCCTCCTCCTCTCCTTCATTTCCCTCCTCCTCCTCCTCCTCTTCCTCCTCCTCCTCCTCCCCCTCCTCCCCCTCCTCCTCCTCCTCCTCCTCCTCCTCCTCCTCCTCCTCCTCCTCCTCCTCCAGGCCCTTTTCGGCCTCAGCGGGGGCCTTCTGGGAGAGCACTTGAGAGGGGCGCAGCCCCCAGGAGCCCTCGGACGACCTTGCATGGCGTGGCGGGACGGCAGCGACGCTTCTGCTGCCCCGTGGAGGCAGAGGTCGGCGAGGCCCAGCCAACCTCGCTCGCGACGCCGCGTGGATCTGGACCTCGTGGAAAGCGCCGTGGCGGCGACGGTGACAGCAGCGGTGGCGGCCGTTACGCCAGCCAGGCACCAGCCACGGCCAGTATCGCAAGCGGCGAGCAAGGTTCGCCCATGGCAGGCCCCGATGTTGGCAATCGAGGATGGTGCGGGCGGCCTTGATTTTGCTACATCCCAGCTCATGTTTGATCATGCACGCGTTCTTGTCGAGGCCGACGTACAGCGGCGCCCTGCCTTCAGACACGGTCTCCACGTTCAACGAGCGGAGGACGGGAGGGGTGACGCCAAAAGGAGTCGTGTTGAGGTTGCAGAGTATTTGATTGACCTTCCTGTCGGCGTAGTTCATGGCACCGTTGAAGCGGATCGTGAACCTGAGGCAGGTGGGGGTGGCCTCGTCGAACTTCCACTCGCTGTCGTCGATGCTGCTGGCGGAGAACCAGTCGTCGATCGCCTGGGCCACGTTGTTCTGGGCGACGAGCTTCGGACAGCGGATGACCACCACGGACGTGTCGTTGCGCCTGTTGAACGCGTTCGGTGTCGGGCGAGGAGGAGGCTGAGGTTCTGCACGTTGGACGACCTGTAGTTCGCGGTGTAGAGTTTCCATCTGCTTCTCAAACTTGGTGAGCCTGGACTCGTGTTCTCCACCTGCATCGAGATGATGCTCCCCACCTGCATCGAGATTCCCTCGAGGGTCGAGCTGAGGGTCGACATGGAGGCGCTGAAGCTGTTCTGGGCGTCGTGGATGGCGGCCTGGAGCTGGTTCTGGATGGCGTCAACGTGGAGACGGAGGCTCGCCATGCCTGAGTTGCTGGCCGCAGCACCGCTTCCAGAGGATCCACTGGCCTCGCCAGCGCCAGCTCCTGGGGTAGTCGGGGCAGCACGTTTGAGGGAAGGAGCGCCAGCGGAGGGCCTGTCGACACTAGCAAGGTCCACAACACCCCCGGCAGCACGAGCAGGAGTATGTACTTGGCGAGTGTGTCGATCTCCATTCTCCCCATCAGACGTCGGCATGTCCTCGAGGTCGGCAACGCCTTGGAAAGAGACTCTCCATGCGCAACGCATCGTTCGCTAGCTACTCTGGTAGGAAGCTCCCCAAACTCATGTGTGTCAGGTCAGGTTGGAGACCGAGGCGGGAGTCCACAGGAAGACTGCCTGTGGGGGACGTGGCGCAACCCGAAAGGGAACCTCGACCCAGGCCCCGTCGGCTGCGTGCAAGTTGAAGCCCCCAGGGCTTCGGGATCCAGCTTGAGCCAAAATGGCTACGGACATCCTCCTGCTCCTCCTCCTCCTCAACCTCCTCCTCCTCCTCCTCCTCCTCCTCCTCCTCCCTCCTCCTCCTCCTCCCCTCCTCCTCCTCCTCCTCCTCCGCCTCCGCCTCCTCCTCCTCCTCCTCCTCCTCCTCCTCCTCCTCCTCCTCCTCCTCCTCCTCCTCCTCCTCCTCCTCCCTCCGTCCTCCTCCTCCTCCTTCCTCCTTCTCCTCCTCCGCTCCTCCTCCTCCTCCTCCTCCTCCCTCCTCCTCCTCCCTCCTCCTCCTCCTCCTCCTCCTCCTCCCCTCTCCCCCCTCCCCCTCGCGCCCCTGGCCCTGGCGGGCTGAGGGACCGGTGCGCGCAGCACGCGCACCGCCAGGCGCGCACCGCGCCCTCGCACCGTCCGCTCGCAGGCGCCAGCCCGAGCTGCATGCTCGCAGGCGCCAAGAGGCCTCGCGCGCACCAGCAGGCCCGCGGGCCCCTCTCGCCAGTCAGGGGAGGGGGCGCGCCTCCCGCGGGCGGGGGGGGAGGAGGGGACCTGCGGCGAGAAGTCGTAGCACAGCATCGCCGGTGCGTCTTTGGTTTACCGCGGTCCCCCTCCCCCCCCCTCGTCCTCGTCCTCCCCCTCCTCATCGCCGCCCCCCCCCCCCCACCCTCTCCTGCCTCTCCTCCTCCCCTCCTCCTCCCCCCTCCCTCTGCTCCCCGCTCCCTCTCGCCTTCTTCCTCCTCCCTCACCTCATCCTCCCCCTCCCCGTCCTCCCTCTCCCTCTCCTCCTCGCCTCCCCCCCATCCTCTCCCCCCCCCCTCCTCCCCACGTCTGACCCACCAATTGGTGGTCCCTGGTGGTACCCCTGACCCCGCTCGCTGGCGGTCCTTTGCGGTCCCTGGCAGGCCCGTCAGGAGGGTCATCACTTCGTTCAGCTTGAGCTCCTCCGGGGAGGGGATCAAGAGCGGCCACCATCGAAGCGGGACATCTGGTCGGATGGGGACGTGTCTCGGATCGGGCCATGTCGGCACGGCCTCGAAACCAAATCGAGAAGGCCGCGCCGGGATGCTCAATCGGGGATCTTCTGACCCGGGTCAATCCAGACCCGGGTCAGCAGGAAACCAAAAACTGCAATGCTAGAAAAAAAACTGCCACGCAGATCTTCGCAAACCCGGGTCAGCCAATACGTGCGGCCGCCTCGCGGCCACGAGCGGCTCGCTAACCCGGGTCAGCCAGAGGGGGTCTTCGCAGGATCCTGCAGGATCTGGCGCCCTGGCTGACCCCCGTTTGCATTGACCCCCGTCTCAAGGCTCCCGACTCAACAGCGCCATGCAGCCACGGGGCCGAGTCGGACCGTCGGAACATGGGAGTAGAACCGAACCGGGCCAGTGGAACTCGATGGCGAATCGGCTCGATGGGGTCCACATGGAACCTGGGCGGTGGGGGTCACGGCAGGTTCGTGTCGGGACGACGTTGGCTTAGGTCTGGCATGTCCCCCTACTGGCGGATCTTGGACGAAAAATACCCACACACACACACACACACACACAAAAAAAAAGTGGTCCAAAGGTCGTCCCCCGACTGTTTTTAAACTGTCCTTGCATATCCCTCCTGCGGAGGGACAGGCCCGCCCCAAACGTTGGCACTGGCTGCCAATCGCGGTTCTCCAGCAGCGCTGAGCACTCGACGGCGGCCGATGCGGGGCCGCTCTGGCGGCGTTCCACCTGGAGCGCCCGCGCTGGCTGGGACCGCCGCCGCGTCGGCACGACGCGGCACGACACGGCGCAGCGCAGAGCAAGGGCACGGAGAGAGCGGGGGGGGGCGGGAAGGGGAAGAGAAGGGCGGAGGAGCAAGCAGTGACGAGAGGGGAGGGGGAGGAGAGGGAGGGAGAGGACGGGGAGGGCGACGGGGGCAGGGGGAGGCGGAGAGAGAGGCAGAGCGAAGGAGAGAGGAGAGGAGAGAAAAACGGGAAGAGAGGGAGAGAGAGAAGGAGACAGAAGGAGATGGAAGGAGAGGAGGGCGACAGAAAGAGAGGGAGAGAGAGAGAGAGGAAGAGCGAGAGAAAAAGAGAGAGATAGAGAGAGCGCACCGATGAGGGCGGGCCAGGGTCCGCCCGGGCACGCGGCGTGCTCGCGCCCGCTCCCTGCGAATCTGCGGCGGGCGGTGCCGCATGCGAATGCCAGGGGCGGCGAAGCCCTTCCCCCCCCCTGGTGCGGTCGAACAGGAACCCCGACTGGAAGGAGGAGGAGGAGGAGGAGGAGGAGGAGGAGGGAAAGGAGGAGGAGGGAAAGGAGGAGGAGGGAAAGGAGGGGGGGAGGGAGGGGGGGAGGGGGGGAAGAAAAGGGAAAGAGGGAAAGGAGGCGGCGGAGGAGGAGGGGGAGGAGGAGGGGGAGAGGAGGGGGAGGGAGCAGGAGGAGGAGGACGAGGAGGAGGAGCGCGACGTGGTGATGACGGCGAGACTCGTCCCCCTCTGCAACCTTCGGGGAAAGAGAGGCGGCGACTTCAGACACGAGCCTCGGACCGCGAGGGCCGAGGAGCCCCCGAGAAGAGAAGGAAGGCGCCGCCTTCGGGAGCATACCCCTCGGCGGCCCAGTGCAAGGTTTAGGTCGGGCATGTCCTACTACAGGGGGATTCGGGGCGAGAAAAATATCAAATACCCCGCCAACAAAATGCTCCAAGATGGTCAAGATCAGTCAAAAAGATCGTCCCCCAAGCTATGTTTTGGAATATTCCTCCTGTAGAGGGACACGCCCGACTTACTGCCAGGTCCGCGGCACAGGTTACCAGGTGCTCTCGCGGGGCTCGCACTTGTGCGCTAGCGGCGAGCAGCAAGTCGCGCCTGGGGATGCTCCTGTGGAAAAGCAGGCGTGCAGCAGCTCTGCTGGCGTTCGTTCCAGGCAGACTGCGCTCGCTGGAACCTGTCAAAAGGCGACCTGGACGGCTCCTGGATTCTGCGCGGCGCGAGCGCGAGGCTGAAGGCACATTGTTGCAGCGCTGTGATGCTCGCGGCAAGCGCGGTGCCACGATCCTGGCAGGGGCTGCGGCCTGAACGAAGTGAGGCGCTGCGCGGGGACACGTCCTGCGGCGCCTACACCCTGGCGGGTGGCCCTAGGGCTCGTGATCCTCGCCCCCATGGGCGAAGGACATTTTCCCGGCGGCGGGAAGCACTGCGCTGAGGGGCACGGTGCGCGACGGCACCAGCCGGAGCCGGCCCCCTGGGGCGCCGTCCGCGACCCCTCGCCTGCTGTGTGCGCAGGTCCTCTCCCGGGCGGCTGGCTTCGCTGCCGCCGGCGTGCCCCGGGGCGTGGCTACCTGCCGGGGCCACTGGCAGGGGCCGTGCTGCCGCCCGCGTGGTCAACCCCTGCGTTGCCCAGCGTGGGTCGCAGAGGGGTGCCTGAGGCGGGGTCAGGGTGGACGTTTTCCCATCCCGGGTCACCGTTGCCGCGTGCCTGTTTCGACGAGGAGGTGGGCCATCGTCGCCCGCGTCGCCGCCGTCGCTGGCGCGACAATCGCGCGGGTGAAGAGCGTCGTCCTCGTCGTTGTCCAGGGCGCCCCCAAGACAGAGAGGGCCCTCATCCTCGCCTTCGAAATCCCACCAGTCGTCTGGGCGCAGGCGGTCTAACGATGATTTTCCTTTCTCTTCTACAAACCCTTTTTCCCCTTCGGGGAAGGGTTTATCACTGTTCCCTATTAATATACACCATCTCCCCCAAGCGACTGGAAGCCAACCCGAGACAATGAGGGCCCCCCCCCCACCATCCCTTGCAAAACAGAATACAAAACACACTTTGCCTCCAAATTCTAAGCATGCGCAACGAACCCGATGCGGCCTCCCCTCGCCATCCATGTCAAAAAACAATACCGAATACACTTGGCGGCGGCGGCGGCGGCGGCTGCGGCGGCTGCGGCGGGGGCAGCGGATGCGGCGGCTCTGGCGGTGGCGGCGGCGGCGACGGGGACGGCGGCGGCGGCGGCGGCGGTGGCGGCGGCGGCGGCAGCGGTGGCGGCAGCGGCTGCGGCGACAGCGGCTGCAGCGGCGGCGATTCGGCAACGGGGGCGGCGATTCGGCAGCGGCGGCGGCGGCGGCGGGCGCCGAACAGCGGCGGCGGCGGCGAACCAGCGGCGGCGGCGGCGGCGGCGAACAGCGGCGGCGGCGTGCGCGGCGCGGCGGCGGCGGCGGCGGCGCGGCGGCGGCGGCGGCGGGCGGCGGCGGCGGCGGAGGCGGTGGCGGCGGCGGCGGCGGATTCGCCCCCAAAGGCTGCCCATCCAAATACGACTCCTGAATATGCTACGGCTCGGGCCAGGCTCGGGTGCTACGTATGTGTTGGGAGGGCGGATGGGAGTGAGCGAGTCGGCTTGCGGGCGGGGAGGGAGTCTTGACCCCTCCCCATTATCCCCTCCCCTGGACCTGGACGGGAGGGGCCTCGATCGGTTGGAGCGTCCAAGCTCGGTCCCTGGGAAAGCCAATTTCTGACACCCCTCACGAGGCTCGTGGCCCCCGAGGGGGGGGGGGGCCTCGATCGGGTGCCTCCCTCCTTTGATCGATCGCCTCGAATTTGGCCCCTGGCCCAAGAGGGCCCCAAGAGGCACCCGAGAGGCCCCCAAGAGGCCCCCGAGCGGTCTCAGAGAGCCCAAGATGACCTCCAAGATGGCTCAAATAGTCCAAGCTGGCTCAAGATGGCTCCCGAGATGCTCCAAACGGCCCCAAGATTGCTCCAAGAGCGCCCAAAAGCTCCAAGAGAGCCCCAAGAAGCGGTTTGCCGGCTCCTGATGGGGGGAGCTGAGTTGGGGACCCCCACATCCTGTGGAAGCCTTCCAGGGCTACCAAGAGGGTTCTAAGAGGGCCCCCAAAACTCCTAGAAAGCACCAGCAGCAGCAGCAGCAGCAGCAGCAGCAGCAGCAGCAACCGCAAGAATACCTCTAGCCGGTTCCATGATTCCTCGTCCGCGTCGTCCTCATCCTAATCCTCGTCCTCCTCGTCCTCATCCGCGTCCTCCTCCTCCTCCTCGTCCTCCTCCTCCTCGTCCTCCACCTCCTCCACCTCCTCCTCCTCCCCGCCTCCTCCGCCACCTCCTCCTCCTCCTCCTCCTCGCTCCTCCCCCCTCCTCTCCTCGCCATCAATCAATCATCATCAGCATCATCCTCCTTCTCACCGTTTCCCCCCTTCCTCCTCCTCCTCCTCCTCCTCCTCCTCCTCCTCCTCCTTTTTCCTCCCCCTCCTCATCCTTCCTCTTCCTCCTCCTCCTCTTCCCTCCTCTCCTCGTCCCCCCATCCTCCCTCCACCCCTCCCATCCTCCTCCCTCCTCCTCCTCCTTCCTCTCCTCCCTTAATCCTCCTCCTCACTCGTTCCGTCTCCTCTCCTCCTCCACTACTCCTCCTCCTTCCTCCTCTACACCTTCCTCCTCCTCCTCCTCCTATCCCTCCTTCCTCCTTCCTCCTCCTCCTCCCTCCTCCTCACTCCTCCTCCTTCCTCCTCCTCTTCCTCTTTCCTCCTCCTCCTCCCTCCTCCTCCTCCTCCTCCTCCTCCTCCTCCTCCTCCTCCTCCTCTTCTCCCCTTCGCCCCCACGCGGCACCCTGGGATGGCCCGAAGAGGCCTTCCAAGGCCACCCCCTTGCTCGCTCTGTTTCCCCAGATGTGTTTTTTCGTCCCTTTCCCGTCAGCTCTAAAGGGCAGGGTTTCTGAATGGGCTGGTGGGGATTTTCTGTCGCAACAGCAGGCGAAGGCGCCAGCGGCGTCTCGAGTCGGCTCGGGCTACGAGCGGAACTAATTGCCTGACGCGCGCGCGGGCATCAGCAGAACCTACCGCCGGAGGAGTTGGTGGGGATATTTTTTGGTCCGCGAGCGATACGGAGCAGCCGCACGCCGTCAAAGAGCGAAGCAACAGAGCCACGATCTAAATTAGGCACCAAGCGCACAAGAGCGAACGCTGGTGGGGATGTTTTCC